TTTTTTTTTTTTTGAAATCTATTGTTATTTCTTCCGAAGGCAAATCATTATAGGATTAAGTACATTCAAATAATAATCCTTGGTTGCAATAGATTCATTATAACTTGAAAAAGTGTATCAAATAAAATAAAAAAATCTAGTGGTCAGATAGATAGTAATTTTCTTAGAAACATATTAATTTGAAATCTATAGTAATTAGTGAGTTTTTTAGTAATCTAAGAGCTTGTTGGATTGGAGGGAGGACACTCCCCCTCCATTTCCCTTAAACCTAATAGGCCCTAAGTGTAAGCATTTCATTCAAATAGATAGGAATGAAATTAGTTTAGAGTAACTCTATAATTTAAAATTTTATGATTGATCAATGAATTCAAAAAAGGATATGGAAGTCCTCCCAAACATCTACTGAGGTTTAAAGAGAGGTTAGTTTGTAATCAGTAATGTTGTTGTGGTTAGTCCTTTAAAAGTAGAATATGTTGTTAATGTTTTTGGGTTTCTTTTCTTCCTTTTCTTCTAGTGTTTTGATGTTGATAGAGATGTGATGATTCTTGTGTGACAAAGGGGGTGTTCGTGGTGGCTAAACTCATCTCAAAGTTGGTTGGACATAATGGGGCTCACTGATAAGGTTTGGTGGCATGTGAGAAGGTTTGCTTCATGAGGGAAAAGGTAGCTCCTATGAGGTGCAAGCGTTAGAGGGCTTGCTTGGCTTAGGAAGAGCAAGATCTTGATGGTTATGACAAGGGTGGTGTTGTTTTTTTTTACAAATAGTGGTGAGCCACAAAAGAGGATGGTTGGCAATAGAACATAGTGAGTTATTTCGAGGTGGAAGATAAAACAGAGAGTTGTAGTGGAATGCCTTCATCTTTAGTAGGGTTTTCATTTTAGTCCTTTTTTAATTCTTCCTTTTAGTTTGGTTTAGTCCATTAGATTTTTTCTTGTTTTCTATTTTATTCTCAAGTCCTTAATGTTTTTAGAGGCTAAGATGAGAGACTTCATGAGCCTCAATGTTAGCTTAATAATTCTCTTAGGTAGGCATTTTCTTGTTTTGGGTTAGGCTATGGTTAAAGTATGACATCTTAATTCTAATGTCTTGTTGTTTAGTGTACAAAAGGGTTTATCTATGGTATCACTTTAAGAATTTAAAAATAGTATGAGTTTGTAGTACAGTACAATGGATATAAGTACCTTTTGAGAACTTATTTTTAGTAAGTGCTGATGAGCTAAATTTATATAGATATTAATGTGGAATTTTTGGCTTGATATTTGGATGAGTTTTAGGAGATTTTACTTGATTTTACATAATTTTTATTTTTTTGTATAGGAAGGGACTTAATTGGAAGAAATCATAATTCTTAAGTGCAAATTTCAAAAATTAGAAACATGAGGATTAACTTGTGCAAAATTCAAAAGTTAAGGACTAGAATTTTCAATTTACCATTAACAGAAATTACTTAGAAGGCCAAAAACCCTACATGGTGTTGGTATTGTGCGCTTAACAGAAGGTATCAGCACCTAGTTGAAGGTGTTGACTCCTTATGCGATTTTTTGAAATTCATGGCTAATTTATTATTTTGGATGTGGATCCCACTTCTATTCCAATTAGGGTTTTTGAAATTCTATAATTACTCATCCAAGTTCAAGAACTTTTGAAGGCTAGTGGGAACTCTCTTTTGGGTATTCTTGGAGATCAAGATCAAGGATCAATAAGAGATGAAGGATTTCAATTCCCTCAAATAGGGTTTTATTCTTTCTTGATATTCTTATATTCATAACTATAATTTTAGATTTTATTATTTTTATTATGAATTAATTTATTTTATTAAGGGTAAGATGTAACCTAATCAATTTAATATAACTTTTGTAATTTTTACAAACTTTGCATGATAAGTTTATATTATTGAACTTAATGCAT